AAATCTTCGATTTCCATGTAATCGAAGTGATTGGAAGTAAGAATCGAGAATGATTTCAAATTTCACTTATTTTTTAAAAATAAATATTGTGAAAAAAGAAATCGATTTGCTCGATCACTTCAAAATTAGAAGGCTCACTGAACAAGAGTAAAAAATTTTGAACAGATTTGTTAAGGAAATAGATACTTCAGACAACAACATCGAGAGAGAGAAACGCAAGAGGCGGATAATTCGCAGAAGAAAGGAAATGAAACCAAACTTTGCGTCTTCGAAAAATTGGAAAGTGAAGTGATCATTTCAAACATAAACCAAAACAGGAATCTCAAAATTAGGAAATAGATCGGACAGATTCATCGATTATCAGACAAGAGATCGAAAAATAAGGGAGAGAATGAGGCGGTGCGGAAATGAAGAAAGGAAAATGAAACCCTACTCTTCCAGATTTTTGCTTTTATATTAATGTCCTGTTAATTATAGCCGTTCGATTTCGTTGACAAAATTTAAACTATCAGATTTTTGTTAAGAGTTTGGTATGGGCTATGTTGATTATTGGGCTATTTATTGTGAAGAGTTTGGTATGGTATGGGCTATGTTGATCATTGGGCTATTTTAGTTTTAAATCTTGGGCCACAAATATGTCTTTTAATTTGAGCTGAATTTGTGTTCAATGGATTTAAATTAGTATTTGGCCAATTCATCTCATATTTTTTATAAGAAATTACATTAATAGTTTTTTAAGCCTAATTATTGATATATTGTTCTTAATCCAATATAAGAAATTATATTAAATTATTATTTCTTTTATATAAATAAAATAAAATTGTTCATAATTATTTTTTTGTCACCTTTAAATTAATTTGTTTTTGTTTTAGACATTTATATATATTTAATATCTTTTTAAATATTATATAATTTTTTTTCATTTACTGATTTTTTTTGTATCCATAATCCTTAATATTCCATTCTATTTCTACATGATATTGTACACCTTCTCCTGTTACTGGATCTTCTTTTATTCCGATTGAAAACAAGAATAATTCCGGAAAGGTTTCATATCAATGGTGAAGTGTGTTGCATAGTTCTCAAAGTCTACCATTTTCAAACATCACCAATGGTAAATGTATTAAAATTATATTTTTACTTCAATTTATTTATTTATTTATTTACATGCATATATATAATATATATAATTAAAATATTATCATGTAGCACCTATCAATCAAGTATCACTTACAACTCTTAAAAGAAATTGTGGTCGACCTAAAAATACTTTTGGAAATACGTCCGCACAAACTGGTATGTTCTTATTTAAATATATTGGATTTATCACTTACTACATTATATTTCAGTATGATTTTGTTTTTAATTATTTATGTACAATAGATTGGCGGATGTTGTTCTCCAAGGCGATGTCGATCCAAGCTCTAGAGGAAAAAGAATTATACTTCCTTCTTCGTTCACTGGGGGACCTCGAAACATGATTCAAAACTATCAGGATGCAATGGCAATTTGTGGATGGGCAGGTTATCCCGATTTGTTTATAACATTCACATGCAATCCAAAATGGCCCGAGATTGTTTGTTGTTTGGAACCAAAGAGACTGCGACCTGAGGATCGCCCGGATATTTTATGTAGGGTTTTTAAATCAAAATTGAAGGAATTAATCAGGGATTTTCGAAAAAAGCAAATTTTCGACAAAGTCATAGCAGGTATTATTTTTTTAAAAAAAAAATTGTTGTATATATGTCCATCGTGGTGTCTAACACCATTTTGAAAAAATGTTCTAATTGTTTTATCTTGTTTTGTGTTTTGTACTTGTCTACACCATTGAATTTCAGAAGCGTGGATTGTTGCATGCTCATATACTACTATTTCTCGCCAAAGAATATAAATTCCCAGATCCGTCAAACATTGATAGAGTAATAGCTGTGGAGATACCTAATGAGACGTCGGATCCGTTGTATTATGAGGCAGTAAAAGAGCACATGATCCACGGACCTTGTGGTTTGGCTAGAAAATCGTCTCCGTGCATGGTGGATGGCAAATGTAGTAAAAGGTTTCCTAAAAAGTTTGTCGATTTAACCACTATCGACCATGAAGGTTATCCGCGATACAGACGTCGAGACAATGGAAGGCATATTGAAAAAAATAGTGTGGTTGTCCATAATGGTTATGTCGTGCCTCACAATCGCAAATTGTTGATGAAATATGGAGCGCATATTAATGTCGAGTGGTGCAATCAATCGCGATCCATAAAGTACCTTTTCAAGTACGTCAATAAAGGTCATGATCGTGTCACCGTATCATTCTATCAGACGACTGCGTATGGAGAAATAGAAAAACCTGTTATTGAAATCAACATGTTCTAGGATTGTCGTTATGTGTCTTCTTGCGAGGCGGCGTGGAGGCTATTGGGTTATGAACTGCAGTACAAAAAACCTTCTGTGCAACGTCTGAGTTTCCATTTGAAAGGTGAACATAATATTATTTTTGATGATGATGATCCTATCGATGAAGTTCTTAATAATCCCATCGTCAATGAGAGCCAATTTTTGGCATGGATGGAAGCGAACAAGATGTATCCCGAGGCGAGGAAACTGACGTATGTTGAGGCGCCGACAAAATTTGTTTTGAACAAACAAGAAAGAGTCTGGTCTCCTCGAATAAGGCCAGGTTGTATAAGTCGTTGAGCTATGTTCCCAACAATGCTGGTGATAATTATTATTTGAGGTGTTTGGTCAATGTTGTTCGTGGAGCTACTTGCCACGAGGATTATATGAAGGTAGGTGATGTTCAGTACATGTCCTATCGCGATGCTTGCTATGCACGAGGTTTGTTGGGTGATGATCGAGAGTACATTGATGGAATTACCGAAGCAAGTCAGTGGGCATCTGCTGATTCTCTTAGGCGCATGTTCACGTCTTTATTGGTTTCTGAATCCTTAGGCAAACCCGATGAAGTTTGGGAACGGTGTTGGCAATTTCTATCTGACGACATACTATACAAGCAACGTCGTCTTTTTGATAACGATGGTATGAGATTTAGGGCATTTTATATTATGCATTTATCAAGTATTATAGTAACATCATTTTCTTAATTATTAATTTTTTTTGTATTCCACGTAAAAAACGAAATCTAATAGGTCATCTATCATTATTTCAGATTTGAAGCTGGGTGATGCAGATATAAAAAATTTAGCTCTTGCAGAGATTGAGACATCGTGGCACAAGCCTTCGAGACTATTCTACTATGCCTTTTCCAGATATGAGTAGTATTAATTCAAGTGCGAACCGTCTGGTTATGGATGAACTTAACTATGACCGTAAGGCTCTAGCTAATGAGCATGATGAATTGCTGACACATATGGCCGATGAACAGAAGGGTGTTTATTCCAGAATAATGACATCTGTTAATTCCGGTAGGGGCGGCGTGTTTTTTGTTTATGGTTATGGTGGAACTAACAAGACATACTTGTGGAGGACTTTACCTGTTGGGCTAAGATCGCGCGGTCGAATTGTTCTTTGTGTTGCATCAAGTGGAATAGCATCTCTCCTGTTGTCGGGCGGTCGAACTGCACATTCTCGATTTGGCATTCCTCTTTCTGTGCGTGAAAATTCATCATGTGATATCAATCAGGCTAGCCCCCTTGCAGAGTTGATTATTCGCTCTTCTTTGATCACATGGGATGAGGCCCCTATGATGCACAAGCATTGTTTTGAAGCTGTTCAAGCTTCTTTAAAGGCAATAATGGGAGCACTCGACCCGGAAAATCATCATAAACCGTTCGGAGGCAAGACTGTTGTGTTTGGTGGAGACTTTCAACAAATCCTTCCGGTAGTTTCAGAGGGGAATCGTCAGGAGATTGTTAATGCTGCTATTAATTCTTCTACCATTTGGGGAGACTGTACTGTGCTTAGACTTACAAAGAACATGCGTCTTCAGAGCATTGGCGATTCGAATGAACGTGACGAGCTAGCCGCTTTTGCTGATTGGATAGCGAGCATCGGAGATGGCACATTGTGGGGTACAAATGATGGATGTGCTCCGATAGGCATACTAGATGATCTATTACTAGAACCATCCGATGATCCAATTGCAAAAATTGTTGAAAGCACGTATCCGATGTTCAAGAATGCAACTGATGATCCAAGTTACTTGAAAGATAGGGCTATACTCGCGCCAACACTCGAGATCGTAGAACCTATAAATGCATACATGTCGTCGTTGAATTTGACTGAAGGACGCACGTATTTAAGCTCAGACAGTACGTGTAAATCTGACTCCAATACCGACTTTCTGGCACAACTCCATACTCCTGAGTTCTTGAATACTATCAAGTGTGATGGAACACCGAATCATTAGTTGAATTTAAAGGTCGGAACTCCCGTTATGTTGTTGCGGAACATGAATCATTCAATGAGACTTTGCAATGGTACACGATTGATTGTGACCAAACTCTCCAATCATGTTTCCCGAGTGTAAAATTCTTACTGCCGATCATGCAGGTGATAAAGTTTTCATACCTCGAATGACCATAACTCCTTCGGATGTTAGAGTACCATTCAAATTCTAAAGAAGGCAGTTCCCCATTATGGTTTCGTATGCAATGACTATAAACAAGAGTCAAGGTCAATCCTTATCTCATGTTGGCTTATTCTTGAAGAAACCAGTTTTTAGTCATGGTCAGTTATATGTCATTGTCTCCTGTGCTACTAATAGAGAGGGTCTGAAAATTTTAATTTGTAGAGAAGAAGGTTTTAAAGCAAATCAAACCAATAATGTTGTGTATAGAGAAGTGTTTAATAATATATAATTTTTTTTTTTTTTGTACTTTGTATTTCTCTCTCTTTTTTTTCTATGACAATCAAATTATTTATTTATAAACAAAAATACTAAATAATGTTTAGAAAAAAAAGTTTGAAGAAATAACCCCACCGTACTACGCACCGGTACTACACTATATTTCCCAAAATGAATATAATCCGTGCATCGCAGGTTACATACTAGTTAAATAATATCAACCAATCATTCTTATACATCACATCATCTTTAATTCACTATCCATTCACTCACATAATTTTAACTAACTATCACTTCCAATCATTTTTCTCCTACTTTATATCAAATCAACTTTAATTATTTTATTTAAATATTATTTTAATATATCCACTAACAACTAACCCTACCACCTTTTTTCAAAATTAACTATAGTTAACAAACAAACCAAATAAAAACTAGTTGAATTCATAAACAATCACCTCCTAGAGCTTTCTCAGAGCACCCATATTTTGACCAATCATCCACGTTATAAAGCACATATACACACAACAGTAGTATTAGTTTGAATTCTAAGTTATTAAGGAACGTGTGTTGTAGTCACTTTTTCATTAAGTTACACGGATCTTCTCTTTTGTCAACAACAACTGGAGAAGCAGAAAAATTGTTTAGCTTATCTGAAACCGTAATTTCATTGCTTTTGACCTCCATGCTTTTACATTCTCTTGATGAAGAATCTGACCTTGCTCCCATTATCTGCACTGTCAAACTTCCACCTGCGCAAGTAATTGTATAAGATATTAGCATTTTTTAGAAGAGTTAACAAGTAAAAAAAGAAGATTAGTTGTACTTATTCTAAAAATTTCCCCCTTCAATTTCATAATATATGGGCACAGAAAAATTGTTGCATTTAAGTAATACTATACATAGACAATCCTATAAAAGCACAACCCTACAGTTGGGAATTATATATTGTATTAGCATGAAAGAATCTTCCCTTAAACCTGAAATCTCTGTCGATTCAATTTTTTTTTTTTCCAAGAGCAAAAATAGCAGCATTTTTAATAGTTACGGGGGATTGGCAGGGAGGGAAGTCAAAATTTCTAATAAACTGCAAGGTAAAAAGATCGAAACCTGTATCAACCATTCCACCAACCTTATAAATGGTGAGATGTACCCGCTTGAGTTGCAGGCGCAGGGATAAAAAAATTAAAAACAAAGCAGTAAACTTAAATATAATTTGCCGATTTTGATGCATAATAATATATATCAAGATTGACTGAAAAGAAAAGTATCTACCAAGCACGAGAGCAGCTCCAATCCATCCACTGAGACCCCATCTCTCACCCAGTAAAACCCAAGCAAATCCAGCACCCCATACTGGTTCCAATCCATAGATTATTGCAGTTTCTGTGGCGGATACATCACGCATTGCCGCCATCTGTGCAGTATGTTTTTTCAATCAGACTAAGTAAAATACTGAATACTTAATAACCCAATAATGGGAAACTTTTCCGAAATCCCTTCAGCAGGTTTAGAGTTATACCTCTACCCATAAGCACAGGCCCGTTGAAAAAATCCCAGTATAAAGTGCAGGTACCCAAGGAAAGGAAGAAATCGAGTCCAAGACAGTTGCAAATGTCCAAGAAAATGGATCAGATTCTTGGATACCACCACTAAACCTGCCTTCCATAAAGTACCAAGCAGTTGACAGAAGGGCAACGACACAAACCTAACAACACAAATTCATACAGTCAAACTAGCACGACAATTTAATGGGAAACAACATAAAGGCAGAAAATACCAACATTGAGGCACGAACTAACCTCATACCCGAGGAGCGGTAAGAAATTTTCCCTTTTTGTACTTCTCGAAATATGTTCGGTTCTCAGCATATGAATCCCAAAGGACACTGCACTTAGAAAGTTCAACAAGTCCCCAATCTGTATTCAATTGAGATTTCTAAGCACTTTTTAAGACTTTAGAAATCCTGGTGTATTCACGGATTTGTGAAGACTCTTAAAAGTCTTGGGTTATTCAATTGAGATTTTAGAAAGTGTTACAAAATAATGAGGTATTTAACTTATTCGAGACTAAGATTTGTTAAGACTTTTTAAGAATTGGAGGGATTCCTAAATAACAAACCTTGTACGAAATCCCACTTCAAATCTCACCTCCAGGCTAAGATTTCACAAAATTCCTCCAAAATCTGAAAAACTTAAAAAGTTTCAAATCTTAAAAAGTCTCAAAATGTCACTTAAAATCTCAATTGAATACACTCCCTAAGTACATTTCAGATCATTTTAGATCAAGGTAAAAACAATACTAAATTCTTCAGGAATAAAAAGAGACATACACACGGAGGGGACCCACTGGACTCCAACAAACCAACCCCAACAATGGACATAAGAGCTCCAAACCAGGTACGGGCAGGGATTGCAGACCCAAGCAAGCCATCAATCAATGGCACAACAATTACCTGATCAGGATTACTAAAATTAGCAAGAATGAATTAAAACATTACACAGTTTGTAAAAGGCTGCCTTTTATCTCAAGGTAGTTCATACAGTGAACATGGAAAGGAAAGATGCACGCCCAGCATCGGATGTGAGGAGCCCGAGGGCTTGCAATATGTACCCTAAGCTGACCCAAAATCCCAACTCTATCCCTGCATTACGAGTACGGGCGTCGACCTTGGCCTGGAGCACGAAGGGTATAAATGGAATGGCAGCTACACAAAATCGAACGACCGTGAAGGCCTTGGGATCAGTAATAGCTTCCACTTCTTTGACAACTGGGATGTTACTTGCTGCAACCAAAATGGGTATATGTTGAACTTTTATTGTGGAATCATTTGTACGGAGATTTCACTCTATACCAAATACAATCACAACATCCACAATTGAAATTATTTCGCATGAATACCTCAACCAATACTATGAAATCTTTAATGGATGTTGACCAATAGTATGTTCCTGGTAAATATCAAATACTAATCACCAGTCGAACAGAGAAGTTACAGTAAAACTCCCCACCTTCTTCAGCTACGTTATATTTTGCTCACAAAATTTATGGTGGAACTTCTAAAGAATAGCACATTGCGCTTGCTTCTTAGATGACGCGTCAATGTTGTTCAAGATATTTTTTTCATTCATTTATAGGAATGAAACATTTTTATCATTTCAATCGATTGAGAGAGAAACTGTAACTTCAGGAGAATCGAGATATATCAGAATCGAGACACTTACCATAGATAATCGTTATGACGTTGAGCAAAATGATGCTCCTCACTTTTCGCGAGGCGAACAATATTCTTCGCCACAGAGCTCGCTTCCCAAACAACGATTTGAATGTCGAAAATTTGCCATTAATTACACTGTAATTCCCATTCAGTGAAGAATCAGGAACAACATTATCGTCCGAATCATTACCGACAGTAATTGATCCCACTGACTTCCTTCTCAATCTCTTTTTCGCATTACTCGAAGAAGTATTAGCAGCACAGGCACATGAAGAAGAAGAAGAAGATTTAGATTTGAAACTGGAAGCCCATGGTACAGTAGGACGCCGTTTTGTGTCATAGAGTGGGAAAATCGTGGAGGAATGGAGGCAAGGCGTTGGGGCGCAGCTGAAGTGACATCGCCATGGCGATTGTGTAGCCATTGGTTGGTGGTGCTCTCACCTCACCGGGAAGCAAATAGATCTCCACTTCCCATCAAACCTCGTCGATGCTAAACGCTACAGTTGTAAGTTGTAACACAATTGGGAGTGTTTGCTGTCCCTCAAAATGCCGATTTTGTTATTTCATTTTTTTTTAAGGATATGTTTGGTTAGCGAAATGGAGGGGAGAGGCGAGGTGATGTAAAATTTACCTTGTTTTGGAGGATTTTGTAGGAGGAAAGTTAGAGAAAATGATAAATCATGTGTGGTAAGAAAATGAAAAAGGAGGGAAAACAATTTTACAATAACAAATATATCTTTAATGATGTTAAAAATAAAAATTAAAATATTATATACAATAAGGTTAAAATTGCAATTCAACAACTTAAAATTTTCTCTCCCCTCCAAATTCCTCCAGCAAAAATGGGGACGGGAGAGAATTTTAACTTAAAATTTCCCCTCCCTTCCTATCCAAATATCTCAACCAAACAAAGAAATGTGAAAAAATCTCTTCCCTCCCCGCCCCACCCCTCATTTTTCCGCCAACCTAACACTACCTTAAGGAATACTTGAAAAGAAAAAGCCCTTGAGCATAATTTTAATAGGATTCAACCCAACCGGAGGTGTTTGTATACAAATATAGTTATTCAAAATGGATTTTTTTTTTCATTAAGGTTAGTTTTGAAAAAGGTTGTATAGTTAATTGCTAGTGGGGTTATGAGTTTATATACTAAAAACTTGACTTTGGATGATATTACACTTTTGCCCTTTATGAATGAGAATCATGCTCGATCAAACAAGTTCAATGTTCTGTTGTTTTGCATTTAGATAGAATGGGTCATCATCAGGTGAACAGACGATCATTCTATCAGTTACTTGCGAAACAAGAATTAATGGTTCACAACCTAGGTGGAAATGAACACCCCATCAAAACAGTTGTAATGTCAACAGTACAGTTGGTCTTGACTGATTAGTTGCACTAGTACATTTATGTATTGAATAGAATCTCAGAGAGGAGAAGTTCGTTTCATACTGATCGTCGTAAACGAACTAGGCCTCTATTAATTAGTGTGTTCTCTTAACCTGTAAGATATTAAACAAACATATATATGCAGTACATATTACTTTGATTCACTTAGGTGAGGTTCAGTTCGCTGGATTAATATTCCTACTGTCTTGGGTAATATTGTTGTATGTATGATGTGTTGTTAGGATATTTACGGTCACCATGTGCGTTAGTTTGATGAAGTCCCCGAAGTGACTTCATGAAGATTGTTATGTTAAACCCTGCAGGTGGATTAAATTCTGGCATAATAATAATGTGATGAACGAGCGCTAGTTTTGGTAATAAAATACATTAATTAATTCTTGATGTCAGTAATTGAATTAATTAATAGACATTATATATTAAAAATGACGAGGTAATTCGGGCAATTATTATTGGAGTCTCAAATGTAATTTGGGCTAGGGAAAGGGAGTGCAATAATATTACGTCAATGGACCGTAATATTATTTAAGTAATTGGAGGAGTGTGTCTGGCCTAAAGTTAGTCCATTACTTAAGAAGTCCTACTGTAGCACTCTATATACATCATTAAGCTCATGAGAAGAGAAGAGATCAGACATAAACACACGTGAAATGGGTCCCCTTCTCTCTCTTTAGATCTCATTCGAGCTTTATCTTCTTCTTGTTGCTCCATCGGTACAAGTTGAAGAGGTGTAAGAGTGATACAGTACATCGAGATCATCTACTGGAGCCGACGAATCACGACCCGACGGCCGAGATCTGCCAACCCTAGCCCGCCGGACGAAACCCGCGACGAGCCGACTACCGCCGGCCAGCCACCGCAACGTCCCGGCGATCCACGCACCACAAGACTGCCGCGATCCCGCCACTCGATTGTGTTCCAGGCTTCTCCATGTGTTGCTCCCAATCATCCCGAATCCGACATATTCAGAAAATTTTAAGCCTTAAGTTTTCTACATTAAACTTAGATCCGCTACTCATAGGTTTACGTTTGCTATTGAATTCGTGACTTATATTTAACGAGATCCTCATAGATCCCAACAAGTGGGATCAGAGCATTTGGTTAATATGTTTTGTACAAAGTTCGAATTTTTACAGTTTCATTTAACAAGATGTGTTCAAACGCAGCCATATATATTGGATTATATTCGCATAACTCGGTTTTGCAGGAATTAGTTTAAGCCACTATTATGGCTGAGTATGTGTTTGATGAATGTTGTTGAATATGATAAATGGTTTTAATTTGTTTCTAAAACCTCAGACATGTCGAGGAATTTAATGGATGAATGTTTGTAGTAATTATGAGCCCGGAGGTTGTCCGTATTGAATTACTTATTTGTTTAGAAAACATGTACATCCATTCGTTGTATCCAGGATTGAATTATGTAATTGTATATTATATTTTTCGTATTGTGATCATATGTTGATGGTTGGGAGATCACAAGGATCAACGAACCTCGAAGACTCGGTTGGAACCAGGCCCGACTGCCGATGGACCACCGCAGCTCGCGCGGCTGGCGGTTTTTTTCGTCGGGACCGCGATCGAGCAAGGCAGAGGTGGAGCTGGCAGTCGCGGGCCACGGAGGGCCCGACGGGAGTCGCACGACCCGCGTGAGAAAATAATAATAATAATATTTCCGGCGGTTTTTCCACCGGATCGGCGGTGGCGGCCGACGACCGGAAGCAACAGCGGCGACAGGCGACGACTGGTGGCTGGTGGTTTTCTTGTTGGACAAGCAGTACAATATGTATTAGGATTCTACTGCAGTGGGAGTTCTAGTTGGACAAGGAAGAAACTAATAAGGTTTCCTTGTTTAAGGAGACTCAATAATTAATGGTCATAATAGTGGATTTATTTATTTAAATTTATTATGGCAATTAATTATTTATTTATGCATGAGAATTAATTATTGCTTTATGCATGGGATTAATTTATTTGCATGAATAATTATGCATGTCAATTAATTAATTCTTTATGCATGAGATTAATGTAGAATTGCATAAATATTTAATAATCCTCTTTTAAATAATACTAAGTTTGAGAAAAAATTTTAAATTAAAGTTAATTTTAAAATTTCTAAGGCCTTCATTTCTAATTTGTTGGTAAATCAATTAATTGAAGTATGGGCTCTCCCTCGGGTGACATCACTGAAATTAATTTTAGGAAATTACTAGGACAAATTTCTAATTAAACGATTATAGGGAGTCGTATGAGAGCATACGGGCCTCCCCTCGGGGGACGTATAATCAAATTTGATGACATTAGGATCGAGAAATGGGATTCACTAAGAATGAGATTAAATTTATTAACCCTCCTCGGGGTCCCTGAATTTTATTGCATGGCCAAATGGAGACCAACTATTAATATCATTAGTCATGAATTTGGTTTTGACTTTTAGAAATTAATGGGTTCCTGAAAAGCTCTTCTCTGGCGAATGTTGAGTGTGTAGGGTTACCCTCGTGTCATGCATTACTCACGGTGTTTTGAGATGTCGGTGAATTTAAGTTAATATTGTTTTGAAGATATCAATGTTAACAGTTAAATTTAAAATGTTTAATCTGTAAAATATTTTTGTGATTCTCAGGCTATTTTCATCATGTCGTTCAATCCGTTAAGAAATAGAAATAATCAATTCCTAATTCATAAATAGAATTAAATAATAAAATATTCCACTAGAGTAATAGTATTGCTCTCCCCATTTAGCTTCAATTTATTCAATAAATTTGAACCTCCACTTGATTAATAAATATTAATCTAATTGATTGATTTATCTCCTTATGTTTAAGATATAACGTCCGTTGATTAATTAAATTACTGACAAAATATTTAAGCAACTTCTTATTCATTTCCGAAACTAGTACCACTCAGATCCTTAATCATTATGTCGGATACACATCCGCCTGCAGGGCTTGACATAATATTCCTTCCTGAGCTCATTTCGGGGACGTCATCAACCTAGCACACTGGGACATAGTGACCGTAAATAATCTATAACAACACATTATATAAACACTCAGTTATCAAAATACCGAGTATGTCATCCTAGAAAAATAAAAATCACCCATGGTAAATCAAATAAACAAGTAATCAATATATATCTGTTTTATATTATCTTACAGCTTAAAAGAATGCATCAATTACTGAAGGTCTAGATTATAACTGCGATTAGTAAATCTTATAAGCTTATCCTTCTGCGGTCCTATTCAATACTTATCATAAGTACGAGTGTAACCCATCAGTCAAAGATCAACCGAATCAAGACTTACACTACAGTCTTTTCCAACAGGGGTCTCACTGTCTCTCTAAACTGTGAACAATTAGTTTATATTTTATAAGGGACCATTAATATGATCTTTATGTTCGACACGACGAATCATACTATCTACAATGTTAAATAAAGGAGTTATGATTGCATAAATAAATTAACTGCAAACATAAATACTTTGACTAAAATACAGTTGCCAGATCAAAATGGAATTCCTAGAATCTGCAAGACGAGCTTTTACAGCATACCTCTAACAAAAAGTGCAGGTATTTTGCGAACGGAGCAACAAAGCTTCTAACAATGAATAGCATTCCATACTGCATTTTCGAGTTGTTATTGTTGGGTCTATGAAGAACGTCAGTGCTATGTAATTTCGAATCTATTAAAAATAAATCCTAACACTACAGAATCAATAGTGAGGATTATGACTTATGGTTTAAAATTTTTGCCGACTGTGAGACATTTTTTATTTCCGCTATTGGATATCGTCTAAACCTCTGAGTCTATTGGGTAGCTGGACTTCTCCTCGTCATCACATCTCTGGTTTCTCATCGGGTTCGTCGGATCGTTTCGTACCTTCGGTAGGTTAGTCGGACTGCTTGAATCACTTGGGAATCGCCTTGGGCACAAACTGGGGCTGCTGGACCGAGCTGAACTGGACTGGACCGGCTCTGGTCACGTCTGGGCCGGATTAAACTGGACTGGGCCGGGTATGTTTGCTGGTGTTGAGGAATGATTCGCTGGACGTAGATTGGGCCTCCACGGGTCGCGTCTGCTGGACTGGCGCCGCAGTTGCACGAGGTCTGCCCACTGGTGGCCGAGAAATCACTCTTTGGATGCTGAACTGCCGAGAAATTACTCGTTGCGGACTCTGGTCATGCTAATAATTTGCCGATTGCTGCATTGGGTCG